TCAGTGGTTGGCAGTGGCTGGGCAGAGCAGGAGGTGGAGCAGCCTCCAGCAGGCCCAAGGTTTCCTTTGGAAGGAAGAAAATGGGATTTGACACAGGGTAACGGATGCACAGACCTGGGAATGTTCCCTAAGCCATTGATCAGATAGCTCAACAGGGTTTATGTTGTGGTTTCTAAATCACATCTCATCAGCTCAGGTCCAAAACGGAAAAGATGTGCCATGTCTGGAAGAAGCTCCGTGCTGTATGCCATGAGGGTTTGCTAATTCGCATCCCCACCAACACTGCGTTAGGGATTCCCATTCTCTGTCCTTGACCTGCTTCTATCATCTTTTCTTAAAGATTTATTTATTTTTATTGGAAAGGCAGATATATAGAGAGGAGGAGAGACAGAGAGGAAGAACTTCCATTCAATGATTCACTCCCCAAGCGACCACAACTGCTGATATTGCGCCGATCCGAAGCCAGGAGCTTCTTCCAGGTCTCCCACACGGTTGCAGAGTCCTAAGGTTTGGGGCCGTCCTTGACTGCTTTCCCAGGCCACAGGCAGGGAGCTGGATGGAAAGTGGGGCCACTGGGATTAGAACCGGGGCCCATATGGGATCCTGATGCTTTCAAGGCGAGGACTTTAGCTGCTACGCTATCGCGCCAGGCCCATGCGTTTATTATCTTTTATCTTTGGTAGTGTCTGTTCTCACCAGTGACATGATACTTCATTGGGGTCTTGATTTGCAGTTCCCTGATGATTAATAATGCTGAATATTTTTCCATGTACTTGCCTTAGAATTTTTTTCTTTTGAAAAGTATTCAAATCCTGTGCTGACTTATGATTTGAATTGGTTGTTCCCGTTGTTGAGCTGAGTTTCTATGTGTGCTGGGCGCTATTTTGTTCCATGATAAATACAGGTATTTTGTCCCGCTCTAGCTCCTGTCGCACTCTGTGGATTTCCTTTGCTGTGCAGGCTGTGGGTTGGCTGCCATCCTGTGTGCATGTGTGTGTGTGTGTGTGGTTGTATGTGTGTGTGCAGGTGTGTGTGTGCGTGTGTGCGTGTGTGTGCATGTGTGTGTGTGCATGTGTGTGTGTGTGCGTGTGTGTGTGTGTAGGGCTCATTAATGCTACTCTTTTCTGTTTCCTATTCTTGCTTTTTCTGTCCCACTTTCTGTGTGCTTAGCAAAAGAACGCAGCTAACATGCTGAATAAATACTTGTTAGAATGCTTTAGCTTACACTGTGGTGTGTTTCTGGGGTGTGTGTGTGTGTGATCTGTCCATCTAAAACTCACACACTGTTACTGTATTGGGCTTATGTCTGATTTTAAAGCTAACAGATTTTATTTTAATAAACTAAGTATATGGGTATTAGTGTCACATACATTTAAAATCAGTGTGTCGTGCTCCGCTTGTTCTGCTGGTATCCTGCGTGTTGAACTGCTAGTTAAAGTCCCGCTGTTGACCCTGTAATCCAGCTTCCTTCTAACGACGATGGTCCCGGTGCTTGGGCTTCTGCCATCAGTCCGTGTTGAAGAGTCATCCTTCCTCCGCTGAGCCAGTCTAGTTGGCAGTGTGCCTGTGGACGAGGTTCTGTCCCGCTGCTCGCGGGGTTTCCGGCAGCGTGTTGGAAATCAGGTGCTGTGATGCTTCCAGCCTGACCTTGTTCAGGATCGCTAGGCTGTTCTGGGTCTTTCGTCGTTCCATATAAACTTTAGTGTACTTTTTCTGGACTCAGCATGGTAGATAGTGGCTGAAGTCCTCATCTTGCACGTGCCAGGATCCCATATGGGCAGTGGTTCATGTCCCAGCTGCTCTGCTTCCCATCCAGCTCCCTGCCTGTGGCCCGGGAGAGCAGTCGAGGACGGCCCAAAGCCTTGGGACCCTGCACCGCGTGGGAGACCTGGAGGAAGTTCCTGGCTCCTGCCTTTGGATTGGTGCAGCTCTGGTCATTTCATTGCAGCCACTTGGGGAGTGAAAGAGCACATTAAGATCTTTCTGTATCTCCTCTCTGTAAATCTTCCTTTCAAAAAAATCTTTAAAAAAACTATTGTTGTTTTTTCTAATTTTGTAGAGAATGTCATTAGTATTTTGGTGGCAATCACTTTGGGTCTGTAGATTGTTCTGGGTGGAACAGACCTGTGATATTTCCTGATACTGACTCTTACGCTCAACAAGGAAGGGGTGTCTTCCCATGTTTGTATGCCTTTGATTTCTCTCTTCCCCTGTAGAAATCTTTCATTTGGTTAAATTTACTCTTACAGATTTGATTTTTTGTGGCTATTGTGCACGATTTATTTCTCTTTGTTTGATTTCATCATCATACCGTCCTCCGGGTCTCCCACGCGGTGCAGGGTCCCGAGGCTTTGGGCCGTCCTCGACTGCTTCCCAGGCCACAAGCAGGGAGCGGATTGGGACCACTGGAATTCGAACTGGCACCCATATGGGATCCTGGCACATGCAAGATGAGGACTTTAGCTGCTAGGCTATCACGCTGGGCCCTCATTTAGGTTTTCAATGTCTTTTTGCTTTTCTTTCAGGAACACCTATAATATTATTACTTGATCACTTAATGATATTTTACATTTCATGTGAACTTGGTTTATTCTCTTTGTTTTCTCAGCTTTTGTCAGGAGTTATTTCTAGGATCTTGTCCTCAGTGTTACAAATTCATCTGCTCTGCTGTTAAGGCTCTCAGTCTTTGTAAAAAATTTTTAATTTTACTGATTGAAGATTTCATCTCCCAAATTTCTGTTTGGTTCTTCTTGACAGTTCTGGCTCTTTAGTCATGGTTTGTTCCTGCCTCTCATTGATGTAGCTTTTTACAGTCATTGTTTTGAATTCTGTATCTGACGCTTCACAGATCCCTAAGCCCGGGATGAATCTGGGGTTAGTGTGCTTTTGGAGGCGTCGTGCTTCCTGGTTTCCTCACATCTCCTACTTGGCATTTGTGCATTTGATACACTTGTCCCTTCTGTATCGATTAGATTTTATTGAAAAAGAATTTACAGTCACCTGGAATGCAGGGTCTCACTTGGCTTCCTGCTTCAGTTTTGGCTCTAGGGTGAGCCCAGGAGTACAGTCCATTGCATGATTTCTTTTGTCTCAACGTCAGCCGTGTTCGTAACAGACACAGTGGTCCAGTCTGCCGTTCTTCATGGGGATAAAAGCATGGCTTTGGGATGAGCGGAGGCCTCCCTGGGTGTGCAGCCCCAGCCCACAGACTGCTCAGTGCCAGTCTGTCTGAAGAATGTTCGGTGTTGAGGGAGGTAAGAGTGGCTGCGCCCCCACCCCAACAGCAACCCTGAGTGAGTCAGAGTTTGTGGCACCAACTGCTATGGCCCTGGGACAGAACAATATGGATGGACCCCGCCTTTGATCCCACTAGAAGAGTCCTACTGGTGCTGTGGTCGTAGTAACAGCAGCCACGGTCCTTGTACTGGGGGATCCGAACCCTGCTCCAGTCCTGCAGGGTGACCACAGGAATACGTGGGATTTTACTCTGTAGGGTGGAGGGGACAGTGACTCTGTGGAATTCCTTCTCAGTTACAACCGCCAGTGGCCGTGTAGATGGTGGCTCATGCTAGCCCGAGGTGGTGGCTCCCACGTGGATGGCAGGCAGTAGCTTTTTCAGCCTCTCTCTTGTCCCTAGCAGCCTTGGTTGTTTCTGCTAACTTGTTTGCCACAAATTTTTGTCCCTCAAACTTCTGGAAACAGTCTTTGCCTCATTCTCTTCCTACCCCAAAGCAGCCTCCATTATTGTGGCTGTGCCCTGTTCAGCCCCCTTCCACGCCTGCTCACTTTGGTTTCTGTTCGCATTACACATTTAATTCATCTGAGTTTATACACTGCATGTGTACCTCCTTTCCCTCTCAGTGCGCATGCTTCTTCACTGGAGAAGTGAGTTTGTTACAACAGCTTTTGCTACATATTCTTGTTGTGTTCTCCTAATCCATTCAGTGAGTCTGTTGCAAATGGGGACTACAACCTCAAACATTTGGACTTTTGAAGGAATCAATATGCTAAGTTTTGCCAATTGATCGATGCTTGCAGATAGGGAAAAACCTACAGAAAATCGACAGGAAGGGAAGCTAAAGATGTTGGTCTGACTGTAGATATGAAATCTGAAATGCCCACAGCTACACGGTTACTTTGCATTTTTGATTGCAGTTAGTAGTTTGCTAACATTCTGATTTTTTCCCTACTATTAGACATATTCAATGTTGGACTTATGGTCAAATTGACCAAAATCTCAAAGTACATAAATGAGTTCTGTTAAAGTGATTTTCCTCTATGTTAGAAATATGGCTCAAAGTCAGTAACAATGTTTTACATATACAAATCATGTTTGAGGTATATGTATATAAATATATACATCTAAATGCATACAAGAAATCTTCAAAAACTTGGCAGAATATATATTGTGGTAAGTCGATTTAAATACACATAAAATTTTCCATCAAATTTTTATGTACAGGATGAAGTACATGAGTGTGAAGTAACAAAATGAAAGATCACACTAAAAACGACCTTGTAATGTCGGCCTCAGTGTTTGTGTTGATTTCAAGCAGAGCAGTGACTTGGTACAAGAGTGATACTTTATTCTGCTCCAGTCTTGTTGAGTGTGTGCTGCATTCAGAGTGGACATCTGCACGTCCGGTTCAGAGAGAAGCCTAGAGTTGGTGACGGGGACGGGCAGTCCTCAGAGTAAGCCTGTCTATGTGTGTGGATGGAATTAGCCAAGCTACATGAGTAAAATGAAAGAGAAATGAGGTGAAATTGGAGAAGTAAAATTTGAGGGATCGTCACGAGTGTCGGATGTCAGTTTAGAAGAACGCTGTAGAAAGAGCATGGAGAGTGATGGTGACGTCAGCAAGGGCCCCTCGCCAATGGTCTGCCAGCTTCGAGGGCAGCTGGTGTGCAGAGGGGAGGACCAGCACACCTGTGCCCTGGGCAGAAGTGATGGGTAACTCTGGCTCTGCTGTCCATAAATACACGCACATGCTCAGTCACTGCAAAGTTCTTTATTTTTTCAGATTCTGTCACATCATGAGAACTCTCATTTTGTGCAGACTTCAATTGCTTAGTTATGTTAACTATCTAAGGACAACTACCCTGGGGCACTAGGTAAATTCCTGGCCTCTGACCCCTGGGAAAGGCAGGGGTGGCACTAACTGGGCGTTGGGGTGCCGGCTTGCTGGCAGATGTCTAAGCAAGAGCAGGTGGTGACGTGCCTGTATGTGTAAGGGGTGGTGCTGCCGTCAGGACACGTGAGAGCGATTTCTCGGAACTCGTAGCTGTTCTCCTTGCAGCAAAGACAGGAACTTTCCAACTGGAAGACATCATAATTGTACCTGGAGAGATGAGCATGGGAAGCATTAAAATGCAGTTTGAGTTTCCAGGGTGTGTGTGTGTGTGTGTTCTGCGTATTAGTCCCCATACATTAGAGAGAGTATATATTTGTCTCTCGGGGACTAGCTCATTTCACTAAGCATAATAGTAAACAACAGGTGTTTACAGCAGGTATCTTTACTCCCAAGTAATAGAACTCCTGTTACCACTCTTAATTGTACTTCTACATTATACTCTGTTTTCTTTGTCCTACGTTTTAATGTCATGATACATTTATACATCAGAAAGTTCAGCCTGTAATAATGAAATGAATGATTATGCCATTGTAATAACTTGAGGCTAAATAATAAAAACGGGTAGATGGGGGCAGATAATGTGGTAAGCATGTAAATGCATTTTAAAATAGCACTGCCAAATTGGACCATTCAAGTCTAAATGACTATGAAAGACTCCAGTTAATGCATTCTTATCATAGTCCTGTCTTCCCCCTGCTGGAAACCTAGGACAGGGATCAGCAGTGATAGGCGAGTGAGAACTGGTACACCACACTCAAACACACCATGGATATTCAGAAGCTCACAGTATTACAGTGCCAAACAGTAAACAGAACAGACTTTAGTGTAATACTGAAGTAATATTCTCTATAAATTAATGTAGACAGAGAAGTGTACATAATGGAAAACATGTCTAAAATTATTGAAGTGTAACAACTTAAGAACTGCTTTTCCTTGGTTAACTCTGTTGTAGTACCCATGTACCGCTAGGCACAGTTTGAAAACTACTACAAAATGAGCAGTGCCCCTTAGATGTTCAGTACTCACACCTCAGTATTTCTGATTTGAATAGACAAGGTTACAAAGTTCGTGCCCAGCTCCATCACGGGGCAGCTCACCTGACAGTCTGCTTGCACGTGCCCACACATCGTGCCATCTCAACTTTATTCTTGCAGCCATTGTAGCGAACGGTCACATTCACGGGGGAAGACTTGCAGCTGTTTTTACCTAAACAGAGTGACACAAGTGAAGTTGAACACCGGCAGTGACCAGGCCTCCATTTTCTTAACCATGGAGAGTAATAATCCTGGTGACATTCAGAAGGTGTCTCATCACCACTAGTCAAGTGAGGTGGGAGGAGGGGACACACTTTCTGACATGTTTGTTCTCACTGTGGATCGGGTCGATGCGCTGATGATCCCACGGAAAGCACAGCTTTCTAACATCTGGAGAGAACTCTATGTTTCCACAAAATTGAATTTTGCAATCATAAATGTAACAGGATAATTGAGAACAGTGTATGTCTGATATGAATTCATAATTATGTCAGATACTGATCAGCTGACAGTGGTGAAGTGTCGGTGAGAAAACCTGTTGGGTTAATAGTGTAGGAGTTCTGCATGAATGATCTGTTTTTTTAAGGCAAAACATTAAATTGTTATTAATAGTGTATATTTTCTCTTTATGCAGAGCTTACTTTACTTACATTTATAGCAACAGTTGTTTGAGTCATAGATTCTGTCTTCCTGGAAGGGTAAGAGAAAAGGTAGAACTAAAAACCTTGTACTTTTCCCATTAAGAATACTTCTTAGTCTATTGAAAAAGCATCACAAGAGTAACATGGAAGGGTGAACATTCCAACCCTCAAACTGCAAAGCAGGGCTGGCAAAGGAGTGAGTGCATAACGGAGATGCGACCTTTTAAACTAGAGCTTCTAACGGTGGGGAGAGGAGTGCCTGTACATGAAATAATTGTAGACACTCAGTGAATAAATGGCTGAGAGAACACTGCCTGACACCAGGCAATGGCGTCTTCTCCCAGTCGGGATCTGTGCCTCAGACTTCGCCATAACTGCACACTGAGCAGTGTCTCTCGGTAAAACTCAAACACTGCAATCCAGAACAACAGGCTTACTGGAAAACTTGGTATCTTGAAAAAATAAAAGAGATAATTTACATTGTAGTTTGACAACTGTGGCATTAAAAAAAAGATCTACACCGTATACGTAAGTGATCATGCGAGTCTGAGATATTGAAAACTGGCTTCTGTGTTTTGTTTAAAAATAGCAAGATGTTTTCCATGATAGCTTACATCTCAAAGAGCACTATATTATGTCCTTTAAAATGAGTGCCTTTCTTGGTATCAACATACTTTCTACCACTTATATGTGTGTGTGTGTATTTTTTTTACATACATACATACGCACACATTAATATGGCCCTGGATGTAATAATAAAAAACACTGGGTTTGACTAACAGTTGCTAATCTGCCATAGAACACAAACTTTATCACATGCACTACATGACAACTGCATTTGTCCAGTGCATGAACTGCCCCCTAGGCGACCAGTGACTGACCTCTGCACACCACGTCTGCCTTGGGCAGTCCTGGACAACTGGAACCACTCCAGTGAGGCTGCAGGTGTAGGAAATACAGGGGTTGCTGGGGTCAACAAATGAGTCTCCAATCTACGAGGAAAGAGAAGAAAAAAATGACTTGCCTTAATGCCCCTTTGAGGCTGACAGTAAAACTGCTTTAAAAACTCAAGCCCATGTTCAGTGACCGTCCGCAGGTCCCCTTGGCCTCAGGTTACCAGCTCAGAAAAGGAGCTAGGAAAGTTGTCTTTGTGAACAAATGCTCCACAGACAGCCAATGAGATGTCAAGGGCCCTGTGTTCCTTTACTGTGTTTGCAAGGACTTTTTTTTTCCAGAAAGGCTATTTTAATTGAACAACTCATCAGCTCTCAATGGGGACAAAATAAGAACTTGAGCTTTGCTCTGTTGGGACAAATGGCAAACCCACCGGATGTCTCCCATCACTGCATGGGCGGCCTTTCTTTGCAAGCTCTTTAATTGACTTACTTAGCATACTCTCAAATTGAGAAATGATTCCTTTCACAGTCTCATATCACAAGATGAACTCTCTGGTAAGCTAAAACTTGACTTTGTCAGCTGCACAGCAGTGATTAGAGGAGAACATTTTGGTCTTTAAACATCATCATGTAACGTGATTAAAATCTCACAGGTTCCCAACTCACACTGGGGAACTAAAGTGTAAGCACCAGGTGGCTATGAAAGTGTAACTCAGACACACTGCGCATTACGGCATCTTAACTCACATCTATTTTTAGATTCTGTTCATGTTTACGGTGTCACATCCAAGTGGATTAGTATTCGAGACTCATGTGATCGTTATGGCTTCTTGATACTGTCTCTTCTAAGAAGTTAAAACCATTGTTTAAATGTCCAGTCAGTTGTCAGAAAGCAGCCCTGGACATTGCATGCCACTCCATCTGCGTGGTGTGATTCTAGTCCTTGGGGCATTCTCACCTGATCTAAGCCAGTTGGGCCATCTGATCTTTGTTTATAATTACAGTTTACAGTCTGCTAAGCAGTTGGAAAAGATGTGCTTTGCACCATTCCATCTGGTATAGGCCATGGGAAGCAGTGTTCGCAAGCTCCCAGCTAGGTGGATCAACTGTGCCCAGCTGCGGACTGCCACGGTGAGTGTTCCAATTGACTATCCTTCCCAAATGGGGACGGGGGCACAATGAGCAGATTCTGCCCCACTGTGTAGAAAGACTGGTGTAGCTAAGCATAGAATATTTTTATTACTCATGTGAATAAATTCAAAGGCAGCAAAGTCCTTACCTCATAGTTGGTATCATTAAATAAACATGTTCTTGGTTCTGAAAAATATAATATTGTTAAAAAATAGTTTTAGAACAAATTACAGATAAAATCCTCTTAATCAATTACAGTGTCACTCCCCTTGGTAATGCTATTTCCTTTTACTGTATCACTTGTATCCATAAGCTGCTTCTGTATTTCCCATGTTCTAAAAACAGCAAGCTTTAGGAAAGTAAGCATCAGCTTATCTATCACATCTGTCTTGCATATCATTAGCTCAAAATATCTCTTGAATGTGAATAAATGAGGTACAGATCCAATTGAAATAAGGCCATGTGAATACACACCACAGTATCCTATAGTACAGCAAGTGTCATTGGACTGGAACTGAACAAGCCTCTCTCCACTTGGGCACGTGGGTGGGGAAGGGCATTCCTGGGGCTGGCAGGTCACGACGTTGTCTTCCGTACAGGTACAGGTGTGGCAGCTGGACACCCATGTGTCTCCAGGCTACAGAGACAAAGCACGCTTAGCTTGTTGATTCAGGTAAGGGAATGTGGGCCAATTTGGGTTAAAGCACAACAAGCTTTTATACTTACAGATTTCTTTTCTCCCAGTGGACCATGACAAACTGTTAACATGAAATGAGAAATTGTAATTAAATTTGGCAAAATGTAACCATGTGTTGTTGATAGATAACCACCAGGTTGCCAACACTATAACTGGCATAGGGTTTCAGCGTCACAGACTTAGGAAGGAGAAAAGACAGATGATGTTCTAAGGTGGATAAATCATGGCCACCTGCTTCAAGAAAGCAGTTTCTAGTAAGTGTGCACTCATAGGCACACACAACTCATGGTCACCATTTTACAGAGGCATTCTTGCCTTATCCTGTCAGTGGCCTTTAAATCTCCTGTTCTCCTGCCTCCACAAGCTTACATTCACCAAGACTGCGTCATGGCCAGAGCCGAGAGTGCAGCCCCAGAGTTTCTCTTGTCTCACAATCACTGAAAAGAGGATTCATCAAAGAATTCATTTGATTATTGTTTACTGCCTTTGTACTCTTGGGCAATAGTGGTTTTTCTGCTTAATCCTCATGATTATAAAACAAGTTGAAAGTATGACATTGTAAGAATTAAAATAAGGAAAGAGCAGGGAGGGTGGGAACATGGTCAGATAGGATAGGCGGTATAATTATGCTCTGAAATCTGTATTTATGAAATTCATAATACATAAAAATTAAGGGGAAATAATAATGGTTTGTATTATACAAACCATTTGCATGCATTTCAGACGTTGCACCAAAATGACTAGATTGCCCTTTCCTGAAAACGTTCACTTTTTTTAGGTCATCACTCTGAACTTCCTGTCTCCTGTTAGGGGAAGGAAGAGGTCCAAGTACAGCGCATGCTCAGTGTTGGCTGGAATAGGAGGTGAGCAGCTCTCAGTCACCCAGCCCTCCAACCCATCCAGAGCTCTGGGTCAGCGCTCTCTGTTCAATCGACTGTTCTGGAAACTCTGTAGGAAGCTCCGGCTCAACGTGCATGGAATTGACACGGTGGCTTCCTCAGTGTCCGTTTACCTCCCACTGTGCCTTCCCCTGCTGAGGACAGACGGTGTCGGTGCTGACAAGCCATGGTGAGTCCTCCCTTTTGGTTCTCTTGTCATCCACCTTACTGAGGACCCTTGTACCTTTGCCTGCTGCTAACCCCTTTCTTGCTGCAAGACCACTCCAAGAACTTAGTAATTTTGACCTGGTATCGTCAACTGGCTTCTGAAGCCAATTAGTGCAGTTCCCTCCCCTCCTGATCCCAGCAGTGACAAGGACTTTACGGCATAACGTTCCTCATGTCTTTGACTACCACTTGACAGTCTTGAAGGCTTCCAGCACACTGGTCCTTCTTTCACACTGTGATTCTTCCATGATACAGAAAGTCAGAACTCAAGAAGTGTTTTCTAATTATGGCAGTCTGTGTGACACTGAGAACCACTGAGAAAACTCGCAGTGGAAACAGAGCTCGTCCTCCAGTGACTGACCTCTGGCCACCCCGAATTTCCTTCTTGCTTGACAAACCAGGAATGGTTACCAGTGCTTACTAGCAGGAGACGATACTTTGGTCAGGAAGCCTAACCTTTGCAGCTAAGCATTCTTGTGTTCTAGGTAACAGGGCGTACTGCTTTGGCTTCCCTTTATGAGTCAGTGGGTGAGGAGGTGCACTGTTGACACTATGAGCAGTCCTGGGACTAGTGGTGTTCACTGGCATGGGCTCCATGGTTTGTTAGAGTCCTGTGCAGAGGCTGAGGTTTCTCACCTGGCCTTGGAGGGGGTGACGGTGGGCATCCTGTGTGAAGACAAACCCCATGTTAGTCTCTCAGGGAACTGTTGATTATTGTTATTCAAGTTGAAATTCTATTGCTGAAGACAACTGCTTCAAAGCTAGCCCCACACAGACCTATCTCCCTTAGGTTCCCGTCCTGCCATAAGCAAGGGTGAGATTCCATCGTAACTCAGCATTTCTTTTCTACCTCAAACTTTAGGGGGAGAATAGGAATCCTGAAAGAAATCAAGGTCAGCTTGAAGATTTTTTTGAAAGACAGTTCTTATGAATAACTGGTAGAGTAAATCGATGTACAAGCAAGGAAATGACAGCTATTGAAACATACAGAATTCTATGTTTAAGTTCGATCCCTCAAGAATTTATTATCTTTATAAAATTCTTCAATATTCCTTGAGGATGAATGTTCAAAATGTTCATGGGAATGGCTGTTGTGAAAAAAAATGAGCATGGATTTACTAAAGCTTTCAGCAGCAAAACTCATTGCCAGTCCCCGTGAACTTTTTGAAGCACTTGATATTTCTATTTACATACAGAAAATATTTTCACCAACCTGATAACCTACTGTTCATGTTCTTTTCAGAGAATTTTAAGATTGACATCAGTTCTAAGGAAGTATCACTAAAAATGAGACTGAGACCTCAAATTTGGGGGAACTGAATGTCTGTAACCCTTTGCTGAGCTAGGCTAAGCCGGCTCCTACTTCAGTGCTTAGCAGATGAGCAGAAATCAACTACAGAAGAGACACATGAGCATAAATGCCGGGAAAGCTCTTCTCTGACAGGATCTTGTGAAGGAAACCACAGAAAAATCTTATCAGCTTCATGGCTAAGGGCAACACCCCTGAAACAAATGGCTGATCCTGGCACCTTCTTCATGAGGTCTGTAAGTAAGGATGGTGTCTCGTGTATGTCTGGAAAAGCAGCCCTTCACAAACCTTCATCTACTCAACGTCCTCATCTCATTTCCTCTGAACTGTTACAGCTGCCACCCGCACCTGCCGACTCCCGCACCTCCAAGGGCTGTCAGTCAGGAATCCCATTTCCACTGCAGTCAGTATTAAACAACCATCCCTTACTACTGCCTTCATTCCTCAGTGACAGCTCACAGGAAGAAATGGACATTTCACTCTGTGAAGCCATCATTTTAGGTACTGTTAATATATATGCCATATAGACACTATGTATGCCCCTAGCACGCTCTTCCTCCACCTATACAAAATATGATGACATGGCAAACATTCTAGCTTTCAATGTCTGCAGCCTACTCGGACATGCGGAAGTTATTATTAAAGAAAGGGAGAAAGGATGGTTCGACCCAGGTGATTTACATTATTTTCAGTTATTAAATTAACTTTTGCTACTACTATAATTTCTATGGGGAATAAACAAGGGGAATTTTGAGTTTTTAGTAAAAAGTATGCATACCACAGCTCTATGAACAAATACAGAAGGAAAGTCTGACGTGGAATACTCAGTCTAGTTCAGGTGGATCTTTTTTTTTTTTTTTTTTTTTTACCTTGAAGGGATCTGCAAAAGGCTTATGGAAATAATACTACTCTATAGAAAATAACCTTACAAAATTCGAAAGCTAGACTTGTGAGATGCCGGCAGGAAAGCTCTCTGGCTGCTCCGGCCTTACCTGCGCTCGTGAGTCCAGCAGCTGTAGTCGACTCCGAAGGTTGCTTGGTGGTAACTGAAAGAAGCAGGTAAAGTCATTTACCACTTTGGAGTCAAGAACACATCCTGCAGCATGCTCCGTATGCAGGGGCCTCTCCATGCCCGGGCTGCCTGTCTGAACGCTGGCTTTCATTCTGCCCTCTGCCTTCCTACAGGATGGCTACATCAGTCCCTAACCTCTCTTACTTATGCTGGAACTCATGTCTTCACCCTTATTTGCTTGCTGTCAGTCTTCCATGTGATGACCAAGTTTGCAAAACATGCAAGTGGCAAATCGTAAACAAACACAACCTTGCAGAAGCGCTGATGCATGGGTAGCACTGCACGCCAGGACATTTGACTAAGTCTCATGCTTCTGCTGAGGCTCCTGCTTTGGGGCTGCCTGCTCATAAGGAGGCTTTGAACTTGCATCCTCATGTTCCTCTGAATTCTCAGGATGCAGAGACAGGTCTCTGCTAGAAGGGGACCTTGGACAAAACCCAGAACCAAAGAAACCTAGAGAGAAGCATGTCTTTATTCAAAGGGATGTTTGGTACTCTCTGTAGACCCTCTCTCTACTTCCTTCCACAGTGCATCTCCTAAGGCCTTCCCATCCACATGGATCCCTGAAAAGGTGGCATGGCCAGCACTCATGTGTCCACAGGGCTGTCTGACACTGGTGAATGTGGCAAGCACTGATGGAGGAATACAAGTGTAAGGATACGGCTGTGTGAGACCGAGACTGGACCATCCCATAAGCCATCCTGTCCACGTTGTGCCATGGTGAGTGATGACTGATTTCTCGTGGCCTTACCTGTGGTAGCAATTCCAGGAGCAGTGCTTGTTTCAGATGTTTCCCTGGAAGTACCTACAACAAGGAAGGGAGGGCCATGCATCTGTTAAAGGTTTCCCAGCCGGCAGCACCTGGGGAGCCAACCACTCATGCTGTATCCATGAGTGCTAGTCCATGGCTCTGCCGTTAAGTTATGTGGGGGAGCTGTCTCAGCACACCCCGCTCGGGGAGCTGAGGCGGTAGATTCCTAGGCCCCTGAGCAGCACTTCTCCCTCCCCTCAGTGACCAGAGCTTGCCTCACACTTGACTCAAAGAAACTACTTTAATAGCTCACCGGTGTCATGTCGGGGGGCAGAGAAGTTGTAAGAGAATAACGCGTCTGTGCTGGGGACATGCCCTCGCCCATCTTGTGACCAGATTCCTCTTGGCCTTACCTGCGGGTGTAATTCCTGGGGCAGTGGTTGTTTCCAGTGCTTCCTTGGAGGTACCTAAATGGAGCAAAAGCATTTCCATTTTCTGATTTCATAAGTGACTGTTCATGAGCAACCTTGACATGGAGCAAGCATCCTAAACACTGGCGTGTTGGACTGTGCGTGCCTGGGCCTCAGACATTGGGGGTGTCCTAACTTAGCACCTTCTTGCCCAAGGCACCTAAGGGACAGAGTCCTAGGATCTTGATCAATATCTCACTTGCAGATCCCTCAACAGCTTTCCTCAGCCTGTTTCCCTTCCTGGAAGCTGGCAGCCTGGAGTTGCCATCAGCTGACACGGCCTGGGATGGATTTTGGCCTCGTCTTTTCTTTAGAAGACCTTGTCATCATAAAATCTTTCTCTTCTCTTTTGAGATACAAGTCTAACAGTCAGTTATTCACCTATCAAAGAAATGCCAGGAGACTTCAAAAACTTTTTGTGAAAATGGTACTCAAAGAGTATTTTATTCTATTGCAAAAAGAGTTTGAAATCCATGCTCAGAATTCTAAAAGATGCCTTTACCATAACTTTTAGAAGTGGTGTTTAATTTTCCTCAAAGACCTGGTGCTTCAGCCCCCATTCCCATGAGCCTGCTGGAGGGCAGGCCACTTCGTCCCACCAGATCAAAGTGCCAGGAGGCAGACCCAGCAGGCAGCATCACATGGATCCACCTCTTTCAGGTACCCTCTGAAGTGTGTCCCTGCGCACATCCCTGCTGCCGTAGCAGCCTCGAGGCGGCCATTCCCCCGATGCAGTAGCCTCGACTCACTAATCATGCAGAAACGTCTAGTCATGAGTTTCACTCTGCCTACTGCATGTCGTGCTGGGTTCAGCTGTTACTCACAGAGGTAAGGTGGGTTGGGGTTTCTTGAAACACTGGCAGGAAGGCTGTTAAACATGGCAACTACATTGCAGCCACTGTTTTCATTACCTGGTATAGAACTGCCTGTGATTCCAGCGATTGTGTTGGATGTCACAGAGGTGCCTGCAAAGGCAAATGTGGGACGTTTCGTTAGAGACACAGTGAGTACCCTGCACAGTTCCTGGAACACCTTTATGGCAAGAGGCAGCTCTACCGCGAGCCTTGTTGGTGAGTAGGCACTTCCTGGGTGTGCCTTCCTGCTCATACCTGGGTCCCCTGATAGAGAAATCCAGAACAAGGTGGTTCACTAGAGAGCTGCCTGTTCCTTGGATCTCCAGCTCTCCCCACAGTGTTTCTGTGCCTGGAATCCAAGGCTGGGCATCCCTCGAGAGCACAGTAATTGATAATATGGAAAGGGCACTCAGTGAGTGAAAATTGAGCCTACAGGCAGTGAGGGAGGCTGAAACAGATTGCCTATGTCAAAGCAGAAAGTCCTTTTTCTACGCGTAAAAGCTTATAGCTTCTTACTAAAGATAGATTTGCCTGGGTTGGGACTTCCAGGACCAACAGATGTGCCAGAGGATGCCCTTGTGGTTCCTACAAGATAAAAGACCAAGTCACACAGAGCCTGGCAAGCCTCTCAACCCAGGGAAACCACAGTGTTCTTTTGTTTCTGAAGACATAGAAACCCTTCCCAGCGTATTTTCTAGGTTCAATCAGGCATGTTGTTCAAGGTACACACTCTTGAAAGCAGGCTCAAAGGAAACGTGGGGGAGAAAAGACCACATTGATTTCTCTATATCCATTCTTCACTAGATTTATGACTACAAAATTGAGCATTTTATAAAATCTATGCCCATGATTTCCGTACACTGAATCCCTGGTTCTCCAGGGATGAAAAATACTAACTGGGCAGGACTTGGCATCTGCTGCAGCAGTCTCTACTCACTTCTCCGCAGTGACTGATCCCAGGCACCCTCAGCAGCGCGTGACTCTGGGGCGCTGAGCAAGGCTGTGTGTAGACGAGCCCCATGTCTGCCACACGTTGCCATCTCCAAGTCCCAGAAACCCTTCCCAGATGCTCTTGCAGACTGGCCGCCCTGCATCTGGGTAAGTGTAAAATGTCCTGGAGAGGTCAGGCTTTTTATAAACCTTGTTTATTAATGCAACAGCAAAATTCATTTCTCTGATAATTATCTGGAAGATCTTCTTGTCTCCTTTTCTCTCTATAAATCTGCCTTTCCAAGTAAATAAATAAAATAAAGCTTTTTTAAAAAGGCATGTGGAACAGTGGCCTAGTGGCTAAATCCTCACCTCGCAACTGCCAGGATCCCATATGGACAGCAGTTTGTGTCTCGGCTGCTCTACTTCCCTTCTAGCTCCCTGCTTGTGGCCTGGGAATGCGATGCAGGACGGCCCAAAGCCTTGGGACCCTGCACCCACCTGGGAGACCCAGGGAAAGCTCCTGGCTCCTGGCTTCAGATTGGCCCACACTGACTATTGCGGCCACTTTGGGAGTGAACCAGTGGACGGAAGATCTTCCTGTTTCTCCTTCTCTCTGTAAATCTGCCTTTGTACTAAATAAACAATAAATTTTTAAAAATTGCTTAGTATAAGTGCCCATGAATACTCTGTTTCCTTCCAGTCTATTCAACCTCATTTGCCTAGCTTGGAAACTCCCTAGTCACCGGTGACTTGATATGCTGTTGGCGCAGTAGCACATGCAAGGGCATTTCCTAAGATGACTTCTGACCCCTCTGAGGTTTATCTGCTTCCTCGGAAAGATGCATCAGGTGTGCTCCTCACAAACTCCAAAGCTGTTCGTGTGAACAACTCAGTTTATCCCTCCCTCTCAGATTACCCAAATGCAGGAAGGTTTCAGGAAGGGAGTTGGGTGGCAGTCTTAACCAAGGCAAACCCAGTAAGAACGGTGTCCTTAGCTGCACATAAAGTCACGTTTCAACGGGATGTTTCACACCATCATCCCAGTCCCTCTTGCTTCTTCAAGCCCACATGCTTGCTAAAATCCCTCTCCTACCCACTATTTGTAACTCACGTTGATCATCGTAAAGGCTGCAGAACTAACGTCCACCTGTCTGCATTCCAGGCCACAAGGCTGCTCTGACACCAGAGGAAGAAGCAACCAGTGCCCGATGAACAAGAGTGTGAGAACTGGAGACCAGAGAAGCCAAGAGCGACTGCCCTCTGCACCACCTTCTCTCTGGACACACCACTGTGGACGCTCAGCCTCACCTGTGGTGGCTGTCACTGTGCTGGTGGGTGTTGCCGATGCATCCTGGGAGGTGCCTAAAACAAGAATCCAGAGATGCGTGGGGTGACAGTCCCACCAGCCATCCTGTGTCTTGTCTGGCTCAAAGAGCAATACCAATGCCTTGTCCTTACCTGTGGTAGTAGTTCCAGGAGCAGCTGTTGTCTTCGAGACAGACTTGTAGGTTTCTAAAGAAACAAGCAAAGACCCATGTAGCTTTTCCATTCTCAGAACCACACACTCCTAAGATCCTACAGAGCAGCAAGCACCTTAAAACGCTTGCAGCACTGCATCCTGCACCTGCCAATTAGACACCAGCAGGGCCCCGTCTTAGTATGAGGCGACCTATTCCCAGGTCTCAGTGCAGCGTCTCACTTCCAAGTCCCCTTCCTCTCAGTAATGACAACTTTGTTCATGCTTCATGGAAGCTGGCTTCCTGGTTTTCCTGCACTGCTCTTCCTCGGGGGTTTGGTGGGGAGCACAGAAGTTAGAAATGGAGAAAACGTGTGTGTCCAGGCTGGCCGTGTGTCCCCTCTGGGACTCAGCTCCGGGTCGTCTGAAATGTAAATCTTATGTCTTGCTAGCCTCCTAACGTAAGAAAGTGAGCTGACTTCCGTAGTTCTATAGTTTTTTTTTTTTTTTAAGAAGTCAGAGCTAAGTTCATTTTGGTGCAACCCATCCTGCCATCCATGCATGGGTTTCTGACAAAGCATCTTCCACGAGCTCCTTCTCAAAGACCCAGGAGCTACTGCTTTGAATTGCAAATCTCCACAAAGCTGAGGCTGCATCTGCTACTCTCTGTGGGGTGGCAAGGCCTGAGTCCCAGCAGGTCAAGTGTGAGTGAGCAGAGAATAATAGCTCATCAGGTACACCCTCTCCTCACTTCTCCGCACTGTTAGCTCGAGCTCCCCCTAGCGTTACTAGCGTTTACTGCAGCAGCAGTGGGTTTTACCTCCCTCCCTCGTCACATTGACTCTAACTGCAGCAGTCTTGATTCAAGTAATGTGCACATGCCTCTCTCCCGTATGCCAACATTTCACAGAATAGAAATGGTCATGTGACACACTGTGGAATGGAAGCATGATGAGTGTTACCCATGCACACCATCATTGAATCAGTATGTCCAGGACCTGGTTTGAGATTCCCCATCCTGCTTTTTAAATATTTCTTATGTCCATTATATCTAGGACACCGCCTTCTTAGAAGTGTGCTGGCAGCCTGCCAGCAAACAAGCTTGATATTTCAATGCCTCCAGCAGAGTTCGCCCACTTTTTAATTTTGTAGGTTGTAACTACAAAGTTTTGTAAAAAAAAAAAATCCTTATTCCAAAATAAACAATAACTAGACCAATAAGGAAGTGTTCCTTGCACGGAACAGCTGATCTGGATCTGAGATTCAAATGTGAAAATCAGAAGCTATGGTCCTTTGTACAGAACAAAATTCCTCATTTTCTTAAAAAAAAAAAAAGCTATTTGAGAGGCAGATGGCAGACAGAGGTAGCTTCCAACAGCTTGCTCACTCCCGGATGGCCAGAATAGCTATGGCTGCACTGCGTACCGGAAACTCAACCCAGCTCTCCCACTTGGACACCAAGAACCATGTTACTTACGCTCTCACTGCTTGCTCTCAGCGTTTACAAGAGCAGGAAGCTGAGTCCAGCGTCGGAGCTGGGTGTGGCACTAAGTACTCCAGGGGAGATGCAGGAGTCTCATTACTGGGCTGAACGCCTGCCTTCGGTGTGCAATGCCTCACTCACGGGAAGGAGATGACATGGCGAGGCAACTGCACATTTTCTCAGTGTGCAGATCGCTCCTTAGAGGTTTCTAATGTGGAGAATTAACCTTCATGTTTTCCATATACTGTTTCTATCTCACAGAGAATTTGATAACACAAATTGCTGGAGCCAGCACTGTGAAGCAATAGGGCAAACCACCACTTGGGGTGCTGGCATCCCGCATGGGCACTCGCTTAAACACTGACTGCTCCACTTCCAGATCCCTGCCAGTGCACCTGAGAGAGCAGCAGGTGACCCCGTGCTCGGGCTCCTGCAGTCCACATGGGAGCCCCCAGGTGTGCGCCTGGTTCTAGGCTCTGCGGCCAGCCCCAGGCATCACAGCTGTGCAGGGAATGAACCAGCCGGTGGAAGTTCTCTTTCTTTGTAAATCTGACTTTCAAATAAATAATCTCATAAAAAGAATAAGTCATCTAGATGTCTTCCTGAAAATATTTTTTTTTAAATGACAAAAATTTCAACAAGCCAATCTTGCAGATATCCATGAGACAAAGACATGTTTGTCTCACGCTGATTCTTGTTGTTACAGCCCACGGAGGCCCCCTGAAGCAGAGGACAGGGTCCGGGCACCGATGTTAGGCTGTGGCTGGGGTTTCTGCTCTAGAAGTGCCCCTGGCAGGAAGCACCACCAGCAGATCCACCTGCAGTGACCGTGTCTGCTGGGAGTGGGGCTCGGTCATCTGTGCCTACCTGCCACGCTCCCCACCTCGGTCCTTCCACCTCCTCCATAAGTGGCTGCCGAGAGGGGACATACATGGGTGGGGCAGCTCAGGGTGGGTGTGGGGCAGCACCCTAGGGAAACACATGCCCGCATAACACAGTAGGGTGTACTCCAGAAAGGGTTCCATGGCAGAGGGCAGGCTCACCTGGACTCAAGCTCCCAGAGGCAATGGTTGTATCCAGGGCGACCGCAGAGGTGCCTGCAACACAGAGACTTCAGTCACCGGCCTCTCCACAGGAAGGAGCACCTGATGCTGACCGTACAGTGTGTGTGCGTGCTCTGCCTTCTCACTGAACACCAGAGACCACACACCAGGTCTTCCTCCCAGTGCTTACCTGATGGGCTTCTTGGTGCCCTGGGGGTATGTTATGACAGGAAAGTGGGGAAATAGTGTTTAAGTGTTTAAAAGTTTAGATTAGGAGAAAAGAACAGGCAAGCAAATTTTCATATAGAAACATGTATGTGTTTGTTTCATGGGTCTCTTCTGTTAACACACACACTCAGGAAACTTCCTTCTGGATTGCAGCTGAAATGCCAGGGATCTTCTGACACCACCAAGAAAATCCCATCCCACCTCAGACCCCCAAGAGAATCACCCTGGGCCCTCGGTGGGCAACAGGATGCCCCTGGAAGCTCTGCCTGGGCAGTCTCCATGTGAGCAGAGAAGCAGGGGTGGAGCTCTGCATGTGGGCATGCTTGGCTATTGCCGGGGTGCCCACATCCATCCAGGTCTCACATGTTTTCAGGTGTGCTGACTTCTAGGGGGGCAGGACTGCCCCAGTGACCAACCCTGTGGCAGAGCCAGGAGCCATTTCACTGGCTCACCAATGGAACAGAACCATCTCATTGGTGTATTCAAGGACCTGTCAGTCGCATAACTGTGTGACAGCCGTGGGGTGGGAGGTAACTGCTCACCATATGGGAATTAAGAGTGAAATCTGAGTTTCTGAGCTTCAGTCAATGGATGCTATGAGGACTTTACCCAGCAACACTCAGTGGGGTCACAGGCCAAGGGTACCTCCTAGCCCAGTGTCTCCTGGGTGTTAATTAGTGGTGAATGCTCACCTGTTGGCATTCCAGCTGTTCTGTTTCCATCTGTGGAAGTTGTGGCATCTAAAACAAAGACAGAAAAGACACGTTTGGGAAATACGCAAGGGCCATGGAAAGCATCTATCACACATGCAAAGGGAAAGACAAGCAAGAACTGTAGCATCTCCCCCACCCCCGCCAACAACCTGCTGACTCACATGTATCCGAGCTGCCTGGAGCAACAGTTGTGCCTGCAGACACTGTAGTGATGATGGCTGGAACACAAAGGGCCAGTGGTCACCATGGGACTCAGGAAGTCCTTCCTAAGTCCCCTGAATCTGCCTTCAGTCCCTTCAGGTGTTTGGTCCCCTGCTGCTCATTTGCCATTTTAGGACCAAAACAAGAGGTGTGAGGTCGCTCTCAACCTGAGCCTCCTAGCATCTTGTGACAGGAAGACAGATGGCTTCCACCCCGCTGTGGACTCCCTCCCAGGTGCTCCTGGTACGTGGGCATAAAGGAAGGTGTGAGGGTGGCCCTGAAGGGAAATAGTGGGCACTTGATTGAAACAGGGTAGATTCTTGCCGCTCCACTCCCTGGCTCAGGAAGAAGGCGGTTGTGTCCCTGTGCCCCTTCCAAAGGCTGGTGCTGTCTGCATTTTGCTCGGGCAGTACTCGGCACAATCAGCTCAAACCCCCATCCTCAGAAGGTACAGCTGTATTCTGGTCTCTTGTAAGTCACTTTTCAGGACCAGTTTTTCCAATGAAGATGATTTAGCTGGCCAAAAGGCTTTGTCGGTGAAGCAGTAACTTTCCCGCTAGTGGCTCTGCTGTGGGTGCTGTGATGAGCAGACGGAACAGAGACTGGAGCCACTGCTTCTCACCTGTGGGGAAGCCAGCCTCACTGATGCCGGTGCCTTCTGGGGAAGAAGGACAAGAACAAAGACCAGACATGAGAGATACTGGGATAAGGATCTTGTGTTATTAGAAAAATCCTATGCAGAGAACACCTCTTCTGAAGCTTCCACAGATGTGGCTGTGTGATTTCAACTCTAATGTGTTAGTAAGCCCTCCTCTGGGATCCTAGAAAAGAAAAGCAAAGTCTAATAGTGTGCCCCAGTGCACCATGGTAGCAACTGTGGCATCACACCAGTGGGTCATCCTGAAAATTTCATGGCCCAAGTAATACGTCATGAGGGCATTCTCTCTTACCATCTCTTTGGGCCATCCAAATCAGGTACCCTAAAAACACACACCCTTACCCTCAGGTACACTGATGCCATTGCAGGGATCTGTGTCACACCCATCTGTTGCAACTGGTAATATTTTCCTGGATGCTGGGCGGGGCTATGCCAGGTTAGCCTGCTACTTTGTATTACTTTTGTGATGATTTTTCCTAGCATTCTTAAAACACACACAAGACCGCACACACACAATGAGCCCAAGGGTCTCAGCAGTACATTTCAGCTGACATTTCCTTTAGGTGACAGTACCAGTGCTGGAAACTTCTGAACTGCTGGTAATTTGGGGAGAAATGGTGGAGGTGCCTGTGGAAAACCTCAAACCAGTGACCACACTCATACCCATCTTCAGAGAGCGCTCCTTGCAGCCAGGACTCAGCAACATTTGGTCAAGGGGCATGACGCAGGCCACTGAGCGTGACTGAGAATTTTAGTTGGCAGATGACTGCACTGATTGCATGGTCTAGAAACAGAGCCTGAACAAATGGTTCCAGAGGAGAGGTCCTCCCTGGGAAATGCTACCCGTCTGCTTCTCACCTGTGGTGGAGATTCCTGGGGCATGCGTTGTGCCAGGGAGAGGTGTGGTCGTAGCTGAAACACAAAGAGCTCAGGTTCACCACAGTGACGTGCTGATTATCAGTGTGACTGACTGTTTACACCTTCATACCAAGGAGCCCCTTGTCATGAAAACTTGCCAGAACCCAAACTCAGAGCTGCTCCCCTGAACCTTCCATCTGCAAGCAGTGTTCTGCCTTTCTGCTCAAAGGTCAAGGGTGAATTTGTGTCATGTCTGCCAGGTTTAATCCTAGTTCCTTGTCTCTTTTGTACAGACCTGAGACAATGGGAAACCATGGAGCATTGCTCCGGGTTCAGGGGATTAAGGAAGGCTCCACATAAGAGACAGCAGCTCAATTGGATACCTACACTCATGGAGGATCAGCAGGAGACTCCGAGAGCAAGGCTTAGGGAAATGCAGTGCAGAGATACACAGAACAAAGCATGTTCACTGAATTAAGGGAACAAGCACTTTCTAAATCACTCACTCCTAAAATAGCATTAGGAACATTGGCAGGCAATTCGGTAGGGAGGGGAGTTGGTATGGGAAAAAGGTTCATGAGAAAGAATGCTAAAGGAATCAAACATAACTACTGGATGCAGGGTCCACTTGAGGGCCTGAAGAGGCATTAGTGTACACTGACAACAGAGCAGTCGGAGACAAGTGCCAGTAAAGACCTGCTGACCAGGACTTGGGGCAGAGTACAGGGCAGCTGCCCAGAGAACAGGGCAGTGTGGGTGTCATGTCTACTTCACGGTGCCCACTAAGAAAGCAGCAGGTGAGAACTCAGGCTTGGGCTCTCGCAGACTTGTCTGCTTTTAAATAGGTTCCATTTCTTGAACCTGTCTCCTGACACGTAAATTTGGGAAATAAAGCCTACGTTAATCAAACGAGGCTTTGATGAAACCTCAGTAGGATTCGAACATATGGGGCCTCATGCTCTCTGGGTAAAGCATGAATTTTGCATACTGTGGGGTCCCTTCGCACCAAAGGCAGAATCCAGCAAGGTGGACAAGTCCTGAATCGAGCATCTCAGCAGACGAGAGCCATAGGAGGTTTCTCATCAGTGTTCCAAAGACAAAATATCTATCTTAAAGCAGCTTCTAGTCCAGTGCAAACATTGAAAACATGCAGAAAGGGGAATAATGTAAAAAAGTGAGATATTCTAATGAATAAACAGCTTTATTTATCTTATATAACTGTTGTTAAGTTTCTAAAGAACTCCATGATACAATAGAAATCAAATCACTTGGGTGCCAGTTGTAGATGACAAGCAACGATAACATGCTGAGAAGCACGTACCTGTGCGTTTTGATAAGGAAGTATTTGGGGAGCTACTTTTGTTTAGTTTGTACACTCATATTAAACCAGTGTAGAATTCAGATGCACCTTTAGGATGACTGAGCAAGCTATAAAAACAGAAGTCACAAAAGCCCTGTGTTGCCAAAAATCTTATCTGAGTTTAATTAAAAAAAAAAGACTTTTATTAAAGGTCAGAGTTACACAGAGAGAAAGAGAGAGAGAGAGAGAGAGAGAGAGAGAGAGAGATGTTTGACTTTTCTCACACTGGGGTCACTCTTCAAGTGGCCACAAGGGCCAGTGCTGGGTTGGTGAAGCTGGGATGCAGGAGCTTCTTCTGGATTCCCTCATGAGTTCAGGGGCTCAGGCATGAACCAGACCCCAAACGGAATGCTGCCTCTGCAGGCAGAGACTTAGCCTGCAATGCTGTGGTGCCAGACTGTGAGGTTGATATTTTAAAATGCTCACAGATGAAGAGTTTCACTGCCTTGTTACCTATTTCAGAAGTGTAATTTTTTTTTTAAAAGCCTCATTTATAATCTTGTATTTTCTTACCTGCTGCTCTGTGATTTGGTGGCACTGTAATAAAAACAGATACACAAATGTACATATTTATTCATGGTAGTTCATAAATGTTAATTTATGCATTAAAATTTGAGACAAGCATTTGCATCCCTTAGGTAACTTTCAGCTAGAACCACTACATCAAGTTACAATCCATGGAAAGGAATTCTTGTGTTATTTTGATTTCAACTTACCAATAAAAAATAATGGTGGTACAATTTTTGGGCCTGATAAAGGAAAAATTAAACTCATGTTTAAAGAACATTCTTAAATTTCATAAAAATTCATTTTGGAGCTTCAATTATTATGAAGCTCTACCTTCCTATCAAAAAACTGTGTTACTCTCATAGATGCTCATCTTAGCAAGTCACGTCAGAGTGACATGACATCGTGGGAAAAAGGATGAAGTCTCCCTTGGGGAATCATCCTCGTGTTACTCCAAACAGAAAACAAATCACTGCCTTTATTCTAAGTTAAATATTTAAACACGTGGAATTCTTGTTTGGTTCTACTTAAAGAACATTTCTCAGATTTAGAAAAATCCTAAAAATATGAAAACACATACCAGGCTCAAATAGTCAGCAACATGTAGGCAGTACGTTAGTTAATTGCTAACATACCGTTCAAATACGTGTATACAAGTCATACCAATTTTTCTTCATATGATTCTTCGAATGAAACTAATTCTAAACTCTGAATTGTCAGTTTATTTTTCTAGTGATTAAGTTGTAACAAAAATTTATGTAACTGGACTTCATAACAGCAATTAGAGCATAAGTAACACAAATCTTTTCCAGAAGAAAATGAGGGAGGAGGGCAATGTGCCCCTTCCATGGATGATGACAAGTCAGTCCTGAGACCAGGGCCATGTCTAATGGCCTGCAGCCTGAGAAACATCCTTGCTCCGAGAGCATGCTGCTGAACACAGCACTGGCCCAGGAGCACAAGTGACAATGCAACACATCCTTGGAAAAGCACAGATCATCCTAGGCAGTATCAGGGAAGAAAAAGAGATTGCCCTGTCGGCATTTGTAAATTTTATATCAGAGTGTAATAACTGTAAAAAGAAGAATGTTACAAAATTTGGATTTATTAAAAAAAAATCGGGCCCGGTGCGGTGGTGCAAGTGGTTAAAGGTCCTCGCCTTGCACGCCCGGGATCCCATATGGGCGCCGGTTCTAATCCCGGCAGCCCCGCTTCCCTTCCAGCTCCCTGCCTGTGGCCTGGGAAAGCAGTTGAGGACGGCCCAAAGCTTTGGGAACATGCACCCACGTGGGAGACCCGAAAGAGGCTCCTGGCTTCGGATCGGCATAGCATCGGCCGTTGCGCTCACTTGGGGAGTGAATCATCGGACGGAAGACCTTCCTCTCTGTCTCTCCTCTCTGTATATCTGCCTTTCCAATGAAAAAATAATAAAAATAAATCTAAAAAAAAAAACAATGTGGGGCTGGCATCGTGGTGGTTTAAGCGGCTGCTTGTAATACTGCATCCTACATGGGCACCAGTTCATTCCTGGTTGCGCCACTTCCAATAGATCTTTCTGGTAACGGCCTGGGAAAGCAGCAGAGGATGACTCAAATGCTTGGACCCCTATAACCCTTGTGGGAGACCCAGATGAAGTTCCTGGCTCCTGCCTTTGCCCTGGCCCCGCCCCTGCCATTGCAGGCAACTGGGCAGTGAACCAGTGGATTTAAGATTGCTCTGTCCTCCCCCATGCCCTCATTCTGTAGTGCTGCCTTTCAAACAAATCCACCTTCTTAAAAACACTAAGTTTTATAAATAAATGCTTCAAAAGCCTTGGCACTTTAGAACAGCAAATGCCACAATTTGTCATTATGAATATAAAAAAATAAACCTCATCAACTGTTTCTATAGCAATACAATCTAAACTCTACTATTTTCAAAGTAAAACTTTAGGTTTTCTTTAAAAAATCACTGTATACTTTGCTTTACAAGGCAATGTGACGACACTTAAAAGAAGTCTTTGGACATATGTTTCAGACACGCTCCATAACTTTAAATGAAAATATGTATTTTGGAAAGTGAAACAACAGATAAAAGATACTGGCTCCTACATCCGGGACCTGGGGAGGGTGGGAAATTGGGTGGGCCTTCTCCCTTAATCCCCCCTTTAAACATGAAGGAAACAATATGAAAAAACTACTAGTCTTAAAAAAAAAGATACTGGCTCTATAATTTGACTTATAGAACCTAGAGAAGTCAGTCAATGTAGTTCTGTATGATAAAATGAGACTTAAGATTACTATGACCACTTAGCTGGCATTATTAATTATTTTACCTTAGTTCCTCATCTAGTGAACATAAAAACCAACCCAACCACCTCAGCCATCCCCCTTTACTTACGAGTGACTTTTGCTTTGGAAGTTGTCAGGCCATGGATGTTTCCCGTGGAACCTGAGACTGAAAGTGGAAAGCTCTGAGTGGGGTGCTCACTTTCCTGGGACAATGTGAGAATGTAAGCCAGGTGGATTGATACCCGTACCTGTTGTGAAAGCTGGGCGTTCATCTCCAGCTCCTGTGGAAGTTGTAGCAGGTGCTCCACTGGAACCTGAAATCAAGACCAATGACACCGATTTAATAACACAGTAAATAACTTTCCTTTGGACTTCTCATTTGCATCTCAAATTTAAGTTATTCAAACTAAAACCTGTGATATTCTGACTACAAAAAACTAGTCTTTTAACTACCATTAAGTGTTGCCATCAAAGTGCCATCAAGTTGACCGTGTCGACGTGAAAATGGTTTATGAACCAACTCATATCGAAACCATTCCTGAAGCCTGCTTCTGATTTTCCAGTGACATACTTCATGTTCATGCCTGTACATCTCCCAGCACAGTCTGCTCTTCCTGCCATTCCTTCCTTGGCCAAATCTCCAACCACCTCTGCATTCTCTCCGCCTCTACTGCAGCCCCTTCTGTGCAGTTCTGTCTCACGGACAGGCTGTGCTTGGAGTCCTGACGACCCAAAGCTGTCCCTCTCTCTGGGCTTGTGTCTTCCTCCTATCTGGGCATCTGTGGGCACTGGCGTGCTGGCCTTCCCCTTACTCCTACACTCCCCGACACCCCGAGCCTTCCCAGGTGGACCACCACCCCCTGAAACCTGCACCTGCTCTTAGTCCCCAACATCACAGTGATCTGTTTATTGTGGAACTTCTCCCAGGCCCAGAGGCCTGCCAGCCAGCAGCCTGAGACTCGGGAATCTTGTCAGGTTTGCTCACTGTCATGCCCATATTCTTATCACAGAACCTGACTCGGAGTTGGTAAAATCTCTCCAAAAATTTACTTTTAAAACAATCATAAAATGGAACAGTTTGGGGTGCTGCTTTCTTACAGAACATCGGTGTTGATTTGTGTGATTTCTGCTGAACAGGTGAATTTGGTGCACCTGCGGCCATGCTGAGATGCCATGCCAGAGGCATACGTGCCTGCTATTCTAGATAATCCACTTTCTTTGCAGAGAAGGTTAGGGGGGAGACAACAGGATCTTGTGTCTGATTTCTAGTTCTGAGTCCTTCCTTGTAACTGCTAACCCCACCCCACCCTGATTCCTCTGTTGAGGCTGTGGGCAAACATAGAGCTTGCCACACTGGTGCTTTGGAAAGCCATTACCCATTCAGTTACAACAGGGCCTGGGTGTTCACTAAGTGCTTTTTATTTGCATACTATGTTTTAAGCTTCATATAAGATTTAAATTTCCACAGAGTCAGCACTATGAAGACACACTACATTTTATATTACCATTAGCATCTTACATTCGCCTAACACAATTGAACATACACTCATGATTTGGATCTGATTATCTGATTTCCTGAGTTACAAAGGACACATTCCATTTGTTTATTACAAAACCATACTGATGTACTTTCCAGGCTACAGCCCTATTCTTATTGGCTTGTCTACTGGTGAATATGGCTGTGCTGGTACTCGCTCAATAGGCGCATATCAGATGATCATCTGCTGTGATTGCATAGGAGATATTCCATGCATAACCAGAGTTCATTTTAGTAAAAAAAAATGAACAATGCCATTGAAATAATATACAATTTTGGATCTAAAACACAAAATCCTCTACATTAAGTATACTTGCTAAATAAAAGGTCAAAGTCAAAGTTAAGCTACTTCAATTTACTATCATGACTCAGGTGGCCATGCCAGTTCTGGGTCACGGCAGCCATGAGAAGAAAATGACACGGGTAGAAATAAGGACTCAGTTGGGATTACTCTGAGGGAAACTGCAGGAAATCCCAGTTTGAAAATTCAAATTTATAAGCAAAAAAATTCACCCAATCCAAAGCTTATATTCAGAAAATTGGTACAACTCTTTAAACATATCACCACATGACATCACAGAATGAATTTCAGTGTGATATTTAAAATGAACAACAAAATTACACAACACAAAAGGATAACATACACAGCTTTACAGAAAACAACACAATTTATGAGGTCAACGAACAAACTTGCATCTTAAGAACTATTACATCATTGACTATACTCACCAAGACACACTTCCTTGAAGTATTAACACCTGACACAAAAAAGTCAATGACCATGGAGAGGAAGTGTCAGGAAAAACAGCAAGAGAAGAAGAACTGGTACCTGGCGATGAAAAGATGTACTCACCAGCTCTTGAATAAGGACTAGTTGAGCCGTTGCTAGATGCTTCTACTAACACTGTCGCAATTGTGGCAGTAACAGCAGATGATGCAGCGGTGGTTGAGGCTACCTCAGATGCTACGGTAGGCGTGGTTGTCACGCTACTGGTTTGTGCAGTGGACCCAGCCTGGAGAGTGGAGGCTTCTGTGGAACCACGGACCACAGATGTTGATGCCACTGGGGCTGGGGTCGAGGACGAGGAGGCTGAGGTGGAGGTCGAGGTGGAGGTTGATAGTGTCGCCTCAGCTGTGGACAACTTCTTTGGGGGTGCTGCTGTGCCAGCTTGCGTGGTGCTGGTTCCTGCTGTTGCAAGAGTTGACCCCTCTGGAGGGCCTGATGTCACTGGAGGAGATGTGGCCGTGGTTGCTGAGCTTCCAGAGAGTGGTGCAGTTGTTTCTGTCCCTGCAGATGATGCTGCGGTGGTTGAGGCTACCTCAGATGCTACGGTAGGCGTGGTTGTCACGCTACTGGTTTGTGCAGTGGACCCAGCCTGGAGAGTGGAGGCTTCTGTGGAACCACGGACCACAGATGTTGATGCCACTGGGGCTGGGGTCGAGGACGAGGAGGCTGAGGTGGAGGTTGATAGTGTCGCCTCAGCTGTGGACAACTCCTTTGGGGGTGCTGCTGTGCCAGCTTGCGTGGTGCTGGTTCCTGCTGTTGCAAGAGTTGACCCCTCTGGAGGGCCTGATGTCACTGGAGGAGATGTGGCCGTGGTTGCTGAGCTTCCAGAGAGTGGTGCAGTTGTTTCTGTCCCTGCAGATGATGCTGCGGTGGTTGAGGCTACCTCAGATGCTACGGTAGGCGTGGTTGTCACGCTACTGGTTTGTGCAGTGGACCCAGCCTGGAGAGTGGAGGCTTCTGTGGAACCACGGACCACAGATGTTGATGCCACTGGGGCTGGGGTCGAGGACGAGGAGGCTGAGGTGGAGGTCGAGGTGGAGGTTGATAGTGTCGCCTCAGCTGTGGACAAGTTCTTTGGGGGTGCTGCTGTGCCAGCTTGCGTGGTGCTGGTTCCTGCTGTTGCAAGAGTTGACCCCTCTGGAGGGCCTGATGTCACTGGAGGAGATGTGGCCGTGGTTGCTGAGCTTCCAGAGAGTGGTGCAGTTGTTTCTGTCCCTGCAGATGATGCTGCGGTGGTTGAGGCTACCTCAGATGCTACGGTAGGCGTGGTTGTCACGCTACTGGTTTGTGCAGTGGACCCAGCCTGGAGAGTGGAGGCTTCTGTGGAACCACGGACCACAGATGTTGATGCCACTGGGGCTGGGGTCGAGGACGAGGAGGCTGAGGTGGAGGTCGAGGTGGAGGTTGATAGTGTCGCCTCAGCTGTGGACAAGTTCTTTGGGGGTGCTGCTGTGCCAGCTTGCGTGGTGCTGGTTCCTGCTGTTGCAAGAGTTGACCCCTCTGGAGGGCCTGATGTCACTGGAGGAGATGTGGCCGTGGTTGCTGAGCTTCCAGAGAGTGGTGCAGTTGTTTCTGTCCCTGCAGATGATGCTGCGGTGGTTGAGGCTACCTCAGATGCTACGGTAGGCGTGGTTGTCACGCTACTGGTTTGTGCAGTGGACCCAGCCTGGAGAGTGGAGGCTTCTGTGGAACCACGGACCACAGATGTTGATGCCACTGGGGCTGGGGTCGAGGACGAGGAGGATGTGGTGGAGGTCGAGGTGGAGGTTGATAGTGTCGCCTCAGCTGTGGACAACTCCTTTGGGGGTGCTGCTGTGCCAGCTTGCGTGGTGCTGGTTCCTGCTGTTGCAAGAGTTGACCCCTCTGGAGGGCCTGATGTCACTGGAGGAGATGTGGCCGTGGTTGCTGAGCTTCCAGAGAGTGGTGCAGTTGTTTCTGTCCCTGCAGATGATGCTGCGGTGGTTGAGGCTACCTCAGATGCTACGGTAGGCGTGGTTGTCACGCTACTGGTTTGTGCAGTGGACCCAGCCTGGAGAGTGGAGGCTTCTGTGGAACCACGGACCACAGATGTTGATGCCACTGGGGCTGGGGTCGAGGACGAGGAGGCTGAGGTGGAGGTCGAGGTGGAGGTTGATAGTGTCGCCTCAGCTGTGGACAAGTTCTTTGGGGGTGCTGCTGTGCCAGCTTGCGTGGTGCTGGTTCCTGCTGTTGCAAGAGTTGACCCCTCTGGAGGGCCTGATGTCACTGGAGGAGATGTGGCCGTGGTTGCTGAGCTTCCAGAGAGTGGTGCAGTTGTTTCTGTCCCTGCAGATGATGCTGCGGTGGTTGAGGCTACCTCAGATGCTACGGTAGGCGTGGTTGTCACGCTACTGGTTTGTGCAGTGGACCCAGCCTGGAGAGTGGAGGCTTCTGTGGAACCACGGACCACAGATGTTGATGCCACTGGGGCTGGGGTCGAGGACGAGGAGGCTGAGGTGGAGGTCGAGGTGGAGGTTGATAGTGTCGCCTCAGCTGTGGACAAGTTCTTGGGGGATGCCTCTGTGCCAGCTTGCGTGGTGCTGGTTCCTGTTGTTGCAAGAGTTGACCCCTCTGGAGGGCCTGATGTCACTGGAGGAGATGTGGCCGTGGTTGCTGAGCTTCCAGAGAGAGGTGCAGTTGTTTCTGTCCCTGCAGATGATGCTGCGGTGGTTGAGGCTACCTCAGATGCTACGGTAGGCGTGGTTGTCACGCTACTGGTTTGTGCAGTGGACCCAGCCTGGAGAGTGGAGGCTTCTGTGGAACCACGGACCACAGATGTTGATGCCACTGGGGCTGGGGTCGAGGACGAGGAGGCTGAGGTGGAGGTCGAGGTGGAGGTTGATAGTGTCGCCTCAGCTGTGGACAAGTTCTTTGGGGGTGCTGCTGTGCCAGCTTGCGTGGTGCTGGTTCCTGCTGTTGCAAGAGTTGACCCCTCTGGAGGGCCTGATGTCACTGGAGGAGATGTGGCCGTG